TCGGTCGGACCGGCTAGCAGAGCTGCTGTGGTGTGGTCGCGGGAAGAATGTTCGCAATGCAAACTTAGTTGGTCGCCGAAACGAAGATTCATTTCACGCCGTCATTTCAGAAATCCACTTTGAGGAACGATGAATCTTCTGGAATTAATTATAGGTCGAGAGGTGTTGGTTTGACCTCGGCCTCGGTCCATGGAGACTGCCAAACTGGTTTTTACTCATGCGATGTTGGGTTCCTATAATAAATTTACCGTGCAATAAAGAATGTAATCTTTTACTTATGCAGCCTTTCCGTTGGCCGAGATTCTGCACTTTGGTTAGGACACCACAGTCCACAGTCCACAGTCCACACGGACATGGGCAATCCTACAGGGCAGGGCCCCCCTGGGCGCTTCGCGCTGGGGCCCCGCCCAAAAATGTTTAGCTACACAGCTTTTAAGGACCAATGGCGCCAGCTATTGACACTGTTATCTTACTTGTTTTATCTTGAGTCTGATACTTTCCGTAGCTTGTGTCACATGATTACCACTTACCTGAGGCAACCCTGCGAGCAGATCTTGAACTTATTGAAGCACTCGCCTTGCTTGACTTTTGTTATCCCAGTCAAGGATAAGCGTATAGGCAAGGACAAACGTAGCGCTATTCCCAGTGACTATATATTATATTCTATATGATTGGATGTAGAAGGAAGGCGTGTTTGCCAACAACCAGCTACGCGTATAGTGGGACGGTAATTGGTTTCCGTACGGACATTAGGCTCCTCATCTGGTCCTGACGCCAAACCACCGCCCGCACCCCAGAAACTGTGACAACGCGCGCCTTACCCCTGTGATGCGGAAATGGGTGCACCCAGGGCCGGCTCCGCGCCGCTCCCTCCCGTGCAGCCGCTGCTCTCCGCACCCGCGGTGCCTGCCCATCCGGCGTGAATGAAGCGGCGTGCACTCTGCGTAACAAGTGCGGCGGGGCTGGCCCTGACACCAAACCACTGCCCGCGCCCCAGAAACTGTGACAACGCGCGCCATACCCCTGTGATGCGGAAATGGGTGCACCCAGGGCCGGCTCCGCGCCGCTCCCTCCCGTGCAGCCACTGCTCTCCGCACCCGCGGTGCCTGCCCATCCGGCGTGAATGAAGCGGCGTGCACTCTGCGTAACAAGTGCGGCGGTGCTGGCCCTGACGCCAAACCACTGCCCGCGCCCCAGAAACTGTGACAACGCGCGCCTTACCCCTGTGATGCGGAAATTCCATCGTCCATCATCCGTTTGCCGCGTTAAAAGCTTCTAAACACGTGCTGCCTTAGAATGCCGGTCCCCAAGAGCCCGAAGTCCCGTCGCCAGTCAATACTCCAGCCAGATCTCCGTTTTAATATACGCAGTTTATAACTGGGATGGAAGTCGTCCTGAGGCGAGCAACGACGTGGCGCTGCTGTTGGTGCTCAACGTAAGTGGGGTCGCAGCTCAAAGCTCTCTAGGTGAACGTCAAGTTTAGAAATACTGCAGCATAACAGAGTACATTTACACGAACTCACAAGCATCTGATGCGTACGGTTCAAACGTCTGTCTAGGACAGCTTTGACCCGCTCGCCCCAGCCTAGCAGCGCTAAATATCATAGCATGAAGACACCAAAAGCACGATCAACATTACACATGTCTCCTGAGATGAAGCCGGTGAACTGCCCTGACCAGTGTGCCGTACACAGAAAATGAAGGGCTCGCCTGCGCAACATATTCCTCTTACGTAAACCTGATCATGATCTATACTGATCTGTACCCATATTTGCGGGAACAGGGTATGTGAATAGGGTTTCAAGGTGACAGCCTTTCGGCGTGGCTGCGCGAAATTGAACACGGACCGTGGATCGTGGCTCCTTGCTAGCAACGAGTCCTTGCTAGCAAGGAGCCACGATCCGTGGGGCTCCCCAGGAAACATTTCTGCACCGCCGAAATACGTACCGCGCATACATCTATATAAAGATAACTGCTGTTTCTTAGCTGCGTCTGTAAGGGTTACAGCATGGCGGCGTGGCGTGGCCGCGCCTATTTGAACGCGGACCGTGGATCGTGGCTCCTTGCTAGCAACGAGTCGTTGCTAGCAAGGAGCCGGGATCCGTGGGGCACCCCAGGAAACATATTATGCGCTGCCGTACTACGCACCGCGCATACATATTAAGATAATTGCAGTTGTTTAGCTGCATCTGTAAGGGTGACAGCATGGCGGCGTGGCGTGGCCGCGCCTATTTGAACGCGGACCGTGGATCGTGGCTGCTTGCTAGCAACGAGTCGTTGCTAGCAAGGAGCCGGGATCCGTGGGGCACCCAGGACATATATTTTGCACTGCCGCAATGGCGTGCATACATCTAAAAATAAATGTCGTTTATAAACTAAATTTGTTCAATGACAGAATTTCCTTACATTGAGCGGGAACCGCGAACCATGGCTCCATGCCAGCAAGCATCTATCGTCCATTCCCGTGGAGTTCTGGTCGCAAAATGTCGTGCATAAGCATTGTTTGAATAGGTTATATTAATTGCCATTATTAGGATGCCAAATATACCACGCATTGTCGCTACTTGAGCTTGCTAGCAAGGAGCCAAGGAACCGTGTCATTTCTCGTTGCTAGCAAGGAGCCACGATCCGTGGCCATAACCTTGCTCCGAAATTGAACACAGACCGTGGATCGTGGCTCCGTGCTAGCAACGAGTCGTTGCTAGCACGGAGCCACGATCCGTGGGGCACCCCAGGAGCCACGATCCGTGGCCATAACCTTGCTCGAGATGGAGCCAGTGAACTGCCCTTTACGGAACAGTGTGCCGTACACAGAAGGGCTGGCCTGCGCAACATATTCCTCTGACGTAAACCTTATCATGATCTATACTGATCTTTATCCAATATTTGCAGGAACAGGGTATGTGAATAGGGTTTCAAGGTGACAGCCTTTCGGCGTGGCTGCGCGCGCGAAATTGAACACAGACCGTGGATCGTGGCTCCGTGCTAGCAACGAGTCGTTGCTAGCACGGAGCCACGATCCGTGGGGCACCCCAGAAAACATTTCCGCACCGCCGCAATACGTACCGCGCATACATCTATATAATGATAACTGCTGTTTGTTAGCTGCACCTGTAAGGGTTACAGCATTGCTGCGTAGCGTGGCCGCGCCTCTTTGAACGCGGACCGTGGATCGTGGCTCCTTGCTAGCAACGACTCGTTGCTAGCAAGGAGCCGGGATCCGTGGGGCACCCCAGGAAATATATTATGCGCTGCCGCACTACGCACCGCGCAAACATATTAAGATAATTGCAGTTGTTTAGCTGCATCTGTAAGGGTGACAGCATTGCCGCGTAGCGTGGCCGCGCCTATTTGAACGCGGACCGTGGATCGTGGCTCCTTGCTAGCAACGACTCGTTGCTAGCAAGGAGCCGGGATCCGTGGGGCACCCCAGGAAATATATTATGCGCTGCCGCACTACGCACCGCGCAAACATATTAAGATAATTGCAGTTGTTTAGCTGCATCTGTAAGGGTGACAGCATTGCCGCGTAGCGTGGCCGCGCCTATTTGAACGCGGACCGTGGATTGTGGCTCCTTGCTAGCAACGACTCGTTGCTAGCAAGGAGCCGGGATCCGTGGGGCACCCCAGGAAATATATTATGCGCTGCCGCACTACGCACCGCGCAAACATATTAAGATAATTGCAGTTGTTTAGCTGCATCTGTAAGGGTGACAGCATTGCCGCGTAGCGTGGCCGCGCCTATTTGAACGCGGACCGTGGATTGTGGCTCCTTGCTAGCAACGACTCGTTGCTAGCAAGGAGCCGGGATCCGTGGGGCACCCCAGGAAATATATTATGCGCTGCCGCACTACGCACCGCGCAAACATATTAAGATAATTGCAGTTGTTTAGCTGCATTTGTAAGGGTGACAGCATTGCCGCGTAGCGTGGCCGCGCCTATTTTTACGCGGACCGTGGATCGTGGCTCCTTGCTAGCAACGAGTCGTTGCTAGCAAGGAGCCGGGATCCGTGGGGCACCCAGGAAATATATTTTGCACTGCCGCAATGGCGCGCATACATCTAAAAATAAATATAGTATATAAACTAATTTGTTCAATGACAGAATTTCCTTACATTGAGCGGGAACCGCGAACCATGGCTCCATGCCAGCAAGCATCTATCGTCCATTCCCGTGGAGTTCTGGACGCAAAATGTCGTGCATAAGCATTGTTTGAATAGGTTATATTAAATTCCATTATTAGGATGCCAAATAGACCACGCGTTGTCGCTACTTGAGCTTGCTAGCAAGGAGCCAAGGAACCGTGTCATTTCTCGTTGCTAGCAAGGAGCCACGATCCGTGGCCATAACCTTGCTCCGTGTTGCGCCAGACCACGCTGTACAGCGCTACGCAGTCAGCGCTGAACGGCGCCGTGTGAGCAACTCGCTTCACGCTCCTGCAGTAGTGTAAGGCCCGAGGCAGAGCAGCTTTGACTCCACCTCTCAGTCGGCACGGAGCCTGACCTGTCGCCCTGACCTTACTTCGTCTGACATCTTCATACCATAGCCAGCAGCGAAAGTTACTGACATAGTTGATAATTAGCTCCGTATGTTGTCGTCATGGGGAGTCGAACCCCAACATCTGCGTGGACGCTGCGGCGCCGAGCAACGTGAACCTCTCAATGACAACTCCTATAATATTGATGCCCAGTAATCATAAACATATAGAACAAATATTAGCCCGCCTCATGGATACTGGCCGCGGGTATCCGAGCCTTCCCCTCGGGCTCTCTCGCTCCTGTCTGGGCTACTGGTGCTGTCTGGTCTGGATCTCTGGAGAGCTGGCCGGGGTATCATCTTCTCGCCGGTGCACGGGCAGCTACTGGTAGCTGGCCCGCCTGCTGTACACCTCTGAGGGTGTATAGGGCACTATAACAACCACAAGAACTCCCCGGCTGCTCCCTGCGCTCGCTCGAATAGTAGAAACATCAACCGCCGTCAACTGCTGACATGAAAAATTTCGCCGTCACGGGGAATCGAACCCCGGCCTCCTGCGGACAATGACTTGACAGGCAGGGATACTGACCACTATACGATGACGACTCCTCATCCCAGGTGACCTGGGCTATCAGCTGTCTGGCGAGAAATTATGACTATATATGAAAAACATTTATGCGAATGTTTTCAGCGTTGTGTCTGGAAGCTGCAGCAGCACCTTCACAGTAGTGCGGGGCTTATTGCTCCCTTACGAAAGCGTGTCGGTGGGCTTAGGGCTGGGTGGCGCATGTGGCGCAGTGGCTGGACGGAGCGGGGGTTGAGTCAACCCCGGCCTGTTGACGGGTGAGAGCGACGAGTTCACGGTAGGTGTACCGCCGCACGTCGGGCTCGATTCCGGAAGGAGTTCCCCCTCCTCAACACCGAGATGTAAGTCCACTTGCCGTGAGGCACTATTCCAGGTGCGCCGTGTCCGCAATCATAAAGCGGAGGGAAGGTACAGTCATGATGCGAACGAACGCATGGGTTGGGAGGCATGTGTGGGCGGCGTTAACGCTTTGGGGGGTTCAACGTGGCACGCAGGCCTTGTGAAGGTGCGTGATTGGGTTATCGGTGGTGGTTGCGGATTGGGGGGCTGCACGCATATGACTCCTCCCTCCTTCCTTCCTTCCCTCCCTCCACCCGACCGGCGTTGCAGGACTCAGGTCGGGGTGGGGATGAAGGTGGTTCGGGCTGTTTGGGGCAGTGGCGTTTTGGGCAGGGCTGTTTGGCGCCGACCAGTCCCTAAGGACCTCGCTCGCAGCGGAGTGCCCATCCGGTTGCCTCCCGACGGCAAGTTGGTTGGCCACATGGACCGGGCCTCTCTCTGCGGCTGCAGGGGAATGGCCGCTAGATGGCGCAAGAGACATTACATTACCGGTACACCTGACATGAAAGCAAGACCCCCCCCCGAGCGGCGCCCCACCCGGTATTCCTTTCTCAACCCCGGCCCTCTCCCACTCCCACCCCATTGCTCACCCCACTCCCCTCCCGACTCTTGCCACTGCGACGTTTACCCTTATCCAGCTTCCTCCGCACTCCCACCCTGACTCCCACCCAGATAGGCCTACTCAACCAGCAGGCATGCGCGAGTCAGCGGCACACGAAAGACACACACACACACACACACACACACACAAGCCCGGCAGCTCCCGCCACTGATACTGTAGCACTCTGCCAAACGTACGGAAGTGCCCCCTGGCGCGTACTCGCCGGGGGCTCGCTCAAAAAGGATCACGGAGCTCGTACATCCGGATCCAGCTGCACAACGTACGACACGGTATGTACAAGCATGCCATGGGTACGGCACGAAAAGACCCACAAGACGATGTCACGTGTCACGTGTCATATGTACGCTACTCCTCGCTAACAAAACGCACAACAAGCGCCAAAACGCCCGCGCGTCATCGCCGGTGCTTTATTCATATCGGGAAAGTACGGCTGAGTTCGCTCTGCCGTACTGACACACATACACACACACTCCGTCGTGATAAGAAACACATTTCCAACGCGCCAAAAGCCCCGGACACGCACCACACACTTACTCCGAAATTTAATTTGGCAATGTCAACGGTATCTGGCGAATCCACCGCAGCATCACGACACACCCGTGTAGTGCGTGGGGGCAACTTAGATCAGCTCTGACCGCAGTGCCTTCCATCCATACATCGAGCTACCTCCACTACGGTACACATGAAAAAAGGACAGCGGTCAAGAAGCGCCAAATACCGGTACGCCCTAAAACGCAGGCGCCGAGCGAGCCATTCCCAGTTTCCCACCAAGTACCGGTACGTCTTTTATTTCCAGCGCCCTGCAGTAACGGGGACATCCATTTCGCCCGCGCCCAAAACGCAGCAGTCGGCCGACCAACGACCACTGCGGCGGCGTCCCCGAAACCACAAACCACCGGGCAGGATGCCGTACAGCGCCACGCAACACGTGCCGTCCGTACATTGCCGTACAGGACGCCGGAACATGCTGCACACAAAATCAAGCAGGTCCCGTATATAATAACCAATAAACTTCAAGCCATAATATGCGATAACATACGATAGATGGAGTTTGTGAGGGTAGCATTTACCCACATGCCGTCTGCCGCCTCGCCTCCTCCATAAAACGGCATCCGTACCCTGCCCCCATCTTATTACACGTGTGCAAAGATGCGGACAGAACACAACAAAACAATCAATAAAAAAATACGTTCAGTAGCCCAGCACCCGCACATAGTCGACCAGTAGTCGCGATGGAAACACCGTCGTGGCGTTGGGTGCTCCGGGCCAGTTGCCGCCCACCGCCAGATTCAGAATTACGTAAAAGGGCGCATCGAAGGGCGAGTTGGGGCCGGTGGGGGTGCCGGTCTGGCTCGAGGCCCACCAGCCCTCGTCCGACAGGGCAAAGCTGTATGTACGACAGTCCGTTGTGGCGGGCGCGTGCGAAGAGGCGCCGGGCGTCCATCGGGGGCGGGTGGGAGGGCGGGATAAGCGTTACGAAACACGCGGGACCTGGCTGGCACTCTTGAGTCGCGTGATGAGGCGTGCAAGGCGGCCAAGACATTTGACAGGGGCATCCATACACCACAGGATTTGTGAAAGCGGCGGTAACGTGAAGCAAATGCTCTCTCACTCAGGCACGCCCGTACAACCAGTAGAGTCAAGTTCGCTAGTGCAGAGTTTTGGCCAGAGCCACACACATGTGCGTACACGCCGTACGTGCCAGTGTCATGAAAGTGCCGTACCTGTGGGTAGTGTAGTACAGTACGTCATCCACGTACCACCACATCTGATTTGCGCTCCACTCAAATGCGTACGTGTGCCTACGAGGACCACCCGTGAGGACCCGTGACACGGCATGGCATGGCACGGCTTAATGCGTTAATGGTAGCCTCATTAGTCGTTACTGAAACAATGTGAGGGGTGGGATGATGTGAACATGCAATCCGTTTGTAAATCAACCTTTTGTGCTGTGGCCCCGGGCGACCAGGTCGCGCTTACTGCCCGCCCCTGCAAGTCCGTCCCATTCCTTTTGCGTCTCGAAGGTCGGTCGCCGCGTCAGTCGTCGCGCAGCGCCCTGCTGTGTCGACTGACGCAGGACGCGCCCAACGCACCATTCCAGCGCCAAGCTGTACGACGGGGGCCGGAAGTGTCCCTGGTTCATGGTGGCTGAGCCTGCGGGTCATTGGGGCGCACACCAACACGCGATGCGGTGTCAGCCGAGGCAGTGAAGAACCGGACAGGATCGTGAGCAACGGGCCACCGACCCACGGGTTGATCCCTTACCCGATGACGTCACGACGCCGTAGTGGATGGTGCCGTACGCGTACGTCATGTCGTTGATGGTCTGCATAAGCAACAGTTGTACGGCGGCGGGCGGTCACTCGTCGAAAGACACCGTCAAAACATTATTCGTGGCAAGGATCGCAAACTCGACGGAGGAGCAAACCAAGATGCGGCCGCTTGAATCCACGTCCCCCAAGGGTCGCCACCCATGGTGGCGGCCAGGAGCTGGTGGCTAGAGCGAGGCGAGTTGTTCCTCCTTTGGGAAAGGACGTTGCAGAGAGGACGAAGAGCGCGCTACAGTGCACCCTGTACGGGCATGCTACGGCCGTACCTCCAATATATCAATCTCCCCGGAGTACGGCCAAGATCCGTACGGCCCGCACGCGTCGCATGTCTGGCTGTTGGGCAACAGCCAGAAAGCCGGCCACATGCCCTGACCTGCGGGGTAGTTGGGGCCAGTACGGTGCCGTACCGTACAGTGCAAGAAGGAAACCGCGTTAAACACCGATCTTAGTCCCATGCATGCATGGCTGCCCGCGCTTAGAGTATTTTCCATTTGAGGGATCATCCAGTAGAGAAGAGAAGCATCAACACGCCCAATTAGGTGCGCTTGCGAATCAAGGTTGTTGCAGGCAGCGGCATGGCAGACGCTGGCTTGGGCTGCCTTCGGGAACAGGGCGTGGTAAAGCGCGGCGAGGGAGGCGAGGGAGGCGAGGGAGGCAGCCGCCCCTGAAACCGCTCCCCTGTCCTCCCCCCTTTTCAGGGACAAACCTCACCCTTGGGCAGCAGCATCCTCGCCTCGAATCGTATCTTGGAGTACACGGTTCCGCCCACATTCACCCCCGGGTAGAAGGCCCGCTTGAGGCGCGTGTCGATGCGGCCCGAGGTGTAGGCCATGGCGCCATAGGCCTCCGACCGCGCCTCAATCACCAGGCTGCCATTCTCAAGCCGTACATTCTCGGGGCGGGAGGTGTAGTATTCGAGCTCGTTGTTATAAGCTGCGATAGTGCATTGTTCGGGAGCGTCCGGGGATATAGAACCCAACGGAGGGAATTTGGGGAGGGTCGGTATCCCAGGCAGGTTAGCTTTAGGTGTAGTTGGGGCGGCCCACCGAGGTAGGTGGTGGTGCTGGGTGGTGATCTCATGTGCCTCATCGAAAGCAGGATATTAAGTTGCAACAGCAAAACAGCAGCAGCTAGCCGGACGGCCTTACTTGAGTAACCCTGTGATATTACCGGTGATCATTCTGTCATCCTCCAGGAACACGCACAGTCACGCACGCACACACGCACACTGACCTGTTCCGGTGAAGTAGTTTCAAGAGGCCGTGTCCAACACGGCCGCGTCAAACTCATCGGCCCACAACGTCGTCGGTGAGGTGCAGCCTGCGGGGCGGCACAGAGGGTTTGCGCGCACAGATAGAGGGTTTCCGCGATGGATTGAGGCGTGCCCGAGACCTGGTCGTGGTGCAAAGCATGCGATCAAGTGGAACTCTATATTGCCACAAACCTTGGGATAAGTTGCTGGAGGGCTCTGTCAAAGACGAGAGCAGCGCTCTGCTGCCAGCGTTGACGGCCCAGGTGATGCTTAAGGAAAGCAGGATTGTGAGAAGACAAGTAGCGGCCATCCTTTTTTGCTATGATGTATATTATAAACGCTGCGTTGAAATTTGTTACGGGAATTCGAGGGGAGCGGCTGCATTTATAATGCACGAAACGCAAAGGACCCGTACGCCGGGCGGCCTTCTATGGAGCTTCCAGCTTCCAGATCAAGTTGGGATATGCATTCGTCTTT